TGCCTGGCCCAGGAATCGCTCTCTTTTTTTTTTTTTTTTTTTGGTACCGGGGATGGAACTCAAAACTTTGTGCTTGCGAGGCAGATGGAACCACTGAGCTAAATCCCTGGCCTACCTGCTTTGATTTTTGACTGGATATGTGGTCCGTCCTGTTTTATCAGATTAATCTGGGAAAGAAATATTTTTGTAGTTGTTTTGTTTTTTAAACTGTGAAGAACAAGAAAGCATTTAGCTCAGCAGGAAACATGATGACATAAAATTTTTACTCCGTTATTATTCTAAAAGCCTCTAGAATTATCATCTGCCTTTATCCTTTTTTTTGGTACCAGGGGTCGAACTCGGGTCCTTACGCTTGCGAGGCAGGTGACAGAACCACTGAGCTAAATCCCCGGCCCATCTGCCTTTATCTTAATTGTGTATGTATGTACACATATGTACTTGGCATGGAGTGACATAAAGGCCTCTGGAGTCAGATCTGTGAAAACATCTTTTCATATCATCTCCTTGTGTAAGTGACTGGGGCCCCATGCTTGACTTCTCTAAAATTTAAGTTATCGGGGCCAGGGATTTAGCTCAGTGGTTTTGCTGCCTGCTGCGCAAGCGCAAGGACCCGAGTTTGATCCCTGGTACCAAAAAAAAAAAAAAAGAGCGTGAAATTTAGGCTATCACACCAGGTTCACTAGACAAAGTGATATAGTATTGACAAAATGCCCTATATTCAATACAACTCAATGGCCAATATTTACTTAAAAATAAAGTCCCTCTTGCTCCAGAGGACAGAACAGGGGATGTAAATGCAGCTTCCCTGATGCCCAGGTCTACTTATCAGTGACAAAGCTTCTATGGAGGAGTGAGCCCGTGAGCGTGAGCAGAGGGACCATGAACAGCGCTGGAAGGTAACCACCAAGAAAGGTTAGAAGAAGAGCAAGCCTTTACCAAAAGCCTCAGGGATGTTTGTTTTAATGATAGAATATTCTGGAGTACACAAGGCATAGGGGATGGTGCTCTCTTATGAAGGGTATAGTGGAGGATATTAAAGTGTACTGTTTAGCACCTAGAACAGTACTGGGTACGGAGCAGATGTTCAGATAATATTAGTTGAATGATTGAAGGAATGAACAAGAAACATCAGCAAAACTATATTTTATCTGTCCCATGATAATGAGCAATAATCAGTGTTGTCAGTACATCAACTTCTTGTTTCCATGGTCACTGGCTTTACAGGAAGAGAATCCAATTTGTCTCCAATTAAAGGCAGAACAGAAGCAAGAGAGAGAAGGAGACAGAGACAGAGACAGAGAAAGAGAAAGAGAGACAGAAAGAGAGAGAAATGACCATCACCAAAAAATCCAGCCAACCCAATTCCAAAGGTCTCTAGTCCACAGGTAGTACTAGGAACCACTCAGATAACAACAACAAAAAAGACTTAAAATCAGAAGTGCTGTATGATAGAAGTTGACTACGGTACTCAGAGAAATAAGAAAGGTTCACTACACATTTATAAAGTTTGTTATAATATGATATATTTATGTCTTATTTAAAGCTGTCACCTGAGGAAACTGAGACATTTAACAAGACAAGGATTGAAATAAGCATGCAGCACTCAACCAGTTTTCCCAGCAATCATTTAGCTTCATTCACCTTTTTTTTTTTTTTTTT